GGCAGAATGGACACACTTCCTGCACTGTGTCTCTGTATTGTCTACTGTAGTTCTGTGGGCCAGTGAGGGAATGCTGTGTCTGGTGCTGGGACTGACCCTACAATCCTTTCTGTGTATTGGCTTCTCCAAGTAAGGGCATTGCCCTTGAGGCTTGGAGAGCCAGGATGAGGTTCTCTCTCTCTCTCTTTCCTTCTTAGTTTACTCTTGTGTGGACAGAATAGACCTGCCACTCTACCTAGTCTGCATCTTAAATGGTATCCTCTGTAGCACATTCTTCTAGGTGGGTGTGGGGTGTCAACATAGCTTGGATTACTGGTATGTTGCCCTCAAAGTTGGGCTCACCCAACTGAGGTTTGCTCCCTCTTTCCTTTCTCTTTGGAAACATAAATAATACCCTCCTGGTGGGTAGATTAGTGCCCTGCTCCCCCAGTGCCATCATCTCTGCCCCTTTCTTCCTCTGTGGTCCTTATGGGCATGGGCGAGGTGAAAAAGATATCTTTCAGCCCTGATGCTACCTGCATCATCTTATTATTATTATTATTTTATTTATTTTTCTTTCTTTTTATCCTTCTTTTTAGTTGGATGTCATATCCATCCCTAGGTTTGGTCTGACCCCTGCCATAGTTCCAGGACCTTGACCTGGCACTTATAAGTTAACTTACTTTTCCTTTATGCCCATTGTAATGTTTGCACTTATTCAGTGTACTCATGTTGTATTTGTTCTTTTGTGCTTGGCTAACTTCACTTAGCATAATTTCCTCCATCTCTTCCCAGGAGATGACATGTTTTATGAGTTCATCACTGCTTTTTAGGGATGTGTAGTACTCCACTGTGTTTATATACCAGAGTTTTTTTAATCCATTCATCAATTGATGGAAATTTAGGTTGCTTCCAATTCTTTGAAATTGTGAATTGTGCTGCAATGAACATTGGAGCACAAATGTCTGGTCGTGATCTGTTTCTTACTACTTTTGGGTATATGCCCAGTAGGGGGATTGCTGACTAACTTTTTATTAAAATGAAGAATAATAGAAGAATTGAGTTCAATATTATAGGAGTTAGATTTGTTTATGTTCACTTTAAGATATATAAAAGGGTAAGAGTGGATGCATAATGAGAATAAATGAGACAAGAGATTATAGGGAATACAGGAGTTGGGGGTGGATGATGGGGAGGATAAGGGGATCTCAGGAGTAAATGGTAAAGACAGGAAGGGGTAGGGAGCACAAGAATGGATTGTGATTGCATAACTCATCTTGGAGTCGATGTAATCATGGGACAGGGGATGTTCTAAAAAAATTGATTTGGGCATGATTGTACAGTTCTCCTTGATATGATTGAATGATTGAACTATTGAATTATATGATATGTAAATTCTTGCCAATAAACTGTTGGGGGGAAAAAAGAAAATGTAGGGGTAGTATCCTGTCAATCAGGTCACAGCTTGTGGTGCCTCCATGGGGTGTGACCTCATAAGGAGAGCCCTGGGAAACTCGTCCTCTCTCTCAGCCTTCACTCTCCTGCTTGCTGGCCACCCTGAGAGCTGTGAGAGGCCTACCATGTTTCCACCAACTTTGTATCCACACGATTTTGTACTCACCAGCCTGTAATCTTCCTGCATTTGTATCATTGCATGTGACTGCATGAGTCTGAAAAAGGACTTATAGACTGGTATCAGACTTATGGATTTGAATTGGACTGGGCTGGAATGTTTTCTTGATATATTATTACTTCTTGATATAAAGCTCTTTCTTATCACATATATGAGTGTCACTGGATTTGTTTCTCTAGTCAACCCAATCTAACACAAATATTATTTTACCTCCTTTGGTTTTATTAATAAATATGGAAGGGATTCTTGTTTTATTTACTTTTTGTCAGTCTTCCTTTGAGCTTTACTAAAACTTTCAATCCAGTGACTCAAATTGTGACCCTTAGGATATCACCAATCCTGATGCTGAAAACTTCAAAGAGAAGAACAAAAATATTGATATAATGCTGCAAAAACTGAAGTGCTTCCATCTTAAAAAGAAAAATTTAGATAAAGAGGTACTGTATTCTCTCTGAAAATAATACCATTATTAATTAAAAGTAAAAATAGGCAAAGAAAGTGATAGCATTGTTGTGTGAAAAAATCTCTATAATTTGAATTTTTAAAAAGAACTGTTTTGTAGACCCTCATAGCTCTGCCATACACCTCATTAAAATCGATATAGTTCAACAGTGATTTGTTTTATAACTAGAAAGTCTGTATTAGAAAAGCTCATTAATATGCTAAAAGAGATATGATTCCCCCCTCCCCCCATTCTTTAGGAGTACTGTGGACTCCTGACGAGGATCTCGTTTTGACATTCTCATCAGTGGCATCTTTAGGGTTGGTGTCACCCAGTGTTGTAACTGATGATGTCCATCCTCCTTATGTTCATGGACCTCCTCCTATAACAGAAAACACAGAATTCTTAGAAATGTTTATTACCAATTTTAGTCATAGATTATTATCTGATCAACATAATTGTAAAGTGTTTATATATAGTATTTGTTAGGTTATATGAATACTAACAGTATAGTTGTATATAATCTTTCTGTGTCAAATTATAACATTATTAGTAACTGAGCAGAAAACTTAAAAAAATTATCTTTAGTTTCATTTAATTGTTCTGTTTCCAAAAAAGTTAGGGATAGGGGTACACAAATACTACTTACCACAATATTGTAGTTGAAACACAAGAAATTTGATAAAATCAGCAACTATAAAATATCAGCCACAACAAAAACAATAGCATACACTTGTAGTGCATGCAGATGAAACCACATGATTTGAAAGATGCATCATCATAACTTGGTAACAGTGGCAGCTCTGACAGGAGTGTATTAGAAGGTTCAAAAAGTACATTTTAACAGAGTTTTAACCTTATAGGTGTATTAATACATGTAAACTGGGTTTGTGAAAAAAAGCATTGTAACGATGAAAATCTTTTGTTATTAGAGCTAGTGACAGGTGAATAACACTTCTGCTGAAATACTGCACACAAAAAATGTATACACAGTAATTTTGTGGTTACCTTCCCTGATAATGTCACCCAGTACGGTCTGTGTCCCATAATGACACCACTGATTCCTATAATGATTTCAGCCTAGGGGCTCTGGTGTTGCAGTGGTTAAGTGCTTGGATGAGAACCAAAAGACCAGCAATTGGCACTCACCAGCCACTCCATAGGAGAAGAAGACACAGTCTGTTTCTATAGAGATTACATCTTTGAAAACCTTTGGGCAGTTCTATTGTGTTCTATAGGCTTCTGTAAGTTGGAATTAATTCAGTAGCAGTGAGTTTAGAACTAAATTGCATAGCAAGTATGTGACAAGTTTTCTGGGGAAGCTCTCTATTGCCTAGCTACTCTGTGGAGAAAGGGACTCAAGGAATAAGGAGACATGCAGAGAAGCAACTGGCCTCAATGTCTGTAAACTAGCCTTCAAGAAAAAGCTCAATTATAATTCAGAGTAAGTTGTTACAAAGATAGAGACCTTAGACACTTATAGCCTTTCAATAAAGTTTTTGGTAGTGACTGAAATATTGACAGATGACATAATAATGCTGTCTATAATTTTACCCTCCTAGGGGGTGAATGAAAAAAGGAATGGCTGGGATATAAATGATATAAATGATTGGCCATGGACTGCTAATTGTTGACATTGGATGACAGTTACAGGGGCTTTATTATAATTCTCCCTCTTTTTTAACATTGGAACATTTTAATAATAAAAAGTAAACAAAATTGTGCAAACTTTACCTCACTGGAAAAGTTTGAATATTGTTGCTGTCTCGTACCACCGAATCAGTTCCAACTCTTAACAACTCCATCTGTCATAGAACTCTATAAGGTTTTATAGTCTGTAATGTAGATTTATTATGATAGCTGACCAATAGGTGTTTTGTACCTTGGTGCCTCCGAGTGGGTTTGACAATAATCTTCAGTACCAGAAAAGTACAAATTGTTTATACCACCCAGGAATCTTGGAAATTAAGGATCATTATTATAATAATGAAGGAACAAATAAGAAGTCATTATAAATTATATCCAGGAATGTTTGGCTAGATTTTTTAAAGAACTGTAATTTTTAGAACTATGGTATACTGACTGCAATAACAATGGGTTTTAGGATAGACTCCCTAGAGACCTTATAATCATCACTGATTTAGATAATTTACTAGTAAAATTCACAGGACTCAGGATATAGTCATACTTATAGTTTTAATGTATTACTAGGCTAAATTTTAATGTATTACTAGGCTAAATCAATACAGGGAAAATGCACATAGGGTGAAGTCTGAAGAAAAACAGATGTAAGTTTCCAAGGGTCTTCCCCCAGTAGAAATACTAGGATGCTCTCAATTCCTCAAGCAATGAATGTGCCAGCACATGTGAAGTAATGCCTACCAGGGAAGCTCATTAAAGACTCAGTGCCCAGTGATTTTATTAGGTATTGGACACAAATCAGTTGCTCATATGTAAGTTCAGGTTGAAGTTGAAGAAAATTAAAATAAGTGCACCAGAGCTAAAATACAAACTTGAGTCTATCCCAACTGAATTTTGAGAATATCTCAAGAACAGATTTGATGCATTAAACACTAATGATAGAAGACCTGATGACATTCTGTGGGATGACATCAAGAACATCATGCATGAAGAAAACAAAGATCATTTAAAAAGTCAGGGAAGAAAGAAAAGGTCAAAATGGATGTCAGAATAAACTCTGAAACTTTCTCTAAAGCATAGAGTACCTAAGGCAAATGGAAGGAATGATGAAGTCAAAGTGCTAAACAGAAAATTTCAAAGCTCAGCTCAAGAAGAGAAGGTAAAACATTAAAATGAAATATGCAAAGACCTAGAATTGGTAAAACAAAAAGAAAATCACACTCAGCAGATCTTAAACTGTAAGAACTCAAGAAAAAAAATCAAGCCTCCAGTTGCAATATTGAAAATTTTTATGGGAAAAACATCAAAAGGTGCAGGAAACATCAAAAGATGATGAAAAGAATACACAGAGTCACCATGCCAAAAATAACTAGTCAACATTCCATTTCAAGAGGTAGTATATGAGCAAGAACCAATGGCACTGAAGGAAGAAGTCTAAGCTGTACTGAAGGCATTAGCCAAAAATCAAGGCTCCAGGAATTGATAGAATACCAATCAAAACATTTCAATAAACTGATGATGTACTGGAAACACTCACTTGTATATGCCAAGAAATTTGGAAAACAGATGGACATCTGACTGGAAGAGATCCATATTTGTACCCATTCCAAAGAAAGGTGATCCAACAGAATGTGCAAATTATAGAACAATATCATTGATATCTCATGCAAGTAAAATTTTGCTGAAGATCTTTCCTCTACCTTGCTTGCTGAAAGTGAGCAGGACTTGAACTACTCACTTGCTGATGAAGATTTCAGCCTTCATTATGGATTAAAACTCAGTATAAAGGAAACCCAAGCCTTCACAACTGGACCAATAGGTGCATCATGATAAACAGAGAAAAGATTGAAGTTGTCAGGGATTTCCTTTTGCTTGGATCCACAATTGGTGTTCATGGAAGCAGCAGTCAAGATATCAAATGATGTGTTGCATTAGGTAAATCTGCTGCATAAGACTTCTTTAGAGTATGGAAAAGCAAGGATGTTACTTTAGGCCTTAGGTGTGCCTGACCCCAACTATGGTATTTTTTTTTTTCATTTTTATAGGCACATTATCCACATAACATACAATTCTATAGTTCATGAATATCAAAAAGAGTTGTACAATCATTAACACGATCAGTTTTGGAACATTTTCTTCTTTCTTGTAATCATTGTTATTAACTCCCCATCTCCCCCAACCTCACCTGATATGCCCCCAAGGAACCATTAATGCAGTTAATCTCTATAGATTTACTTATCCTGGATCTCACATACAGAAAAGCATACCAAAACCAAAAAAATAACATCCAAGTAAAACAGAGAAAAAGCTCAATGGAAAAGAAAGTAGAAAATATTAACAACTAGAACAACTTTCAAGTGGGTCAAAAGAGAGATCAAATGATAGGTGTTAAATTTTAACTTAATTACATCTGCCATAATCCACTTTCCGATGCATTCTGCATGTTAGCAAGGCTATTTCCAACCCTGGTCAGAGGGGATTTACTGGAGGCTTAATGTATTTCTCCTTCATATTTTTTGTTTTTTTAAACTGAAACAACTTTTAATAAATTGGTCAAAAGGGAGATCAAATGATAAGGTATTACATTTAAACCTAATTGTATCTACCACCTAAGAGCCCTGGTGGTGTAGTGGTTATGTATTGGTGGTGTATTGGGCTGCGATCTGCAAGGTTGGAAGTTTGAAACAACTAGCAATTTCACAGGAGAAAGACTGTTTACTCTTGTAAACAGTTACAGTCTTGGAAATGCACAGAAGGTCACCATGAGTCAGCATTGACTCAATTGCAGTGTATTTGAGTTTTTTTAATATCTACAATTGCTGACTACAACACTCTCTGTTAACATCCCTTAATTATGGTTATAGGGGATTCACTGGACCACGCCATGGTATTTTCAATCAACTCATATGCATGTTGGGTATTGAATAAGGAAGACTGAAGAAAAATTTAAAAACCATGGTGTTGGTAAAGTATATTGAAAATTGCATGGACTGCCTAAACAACAAACAGATCTGTCTTGGAAGAAGTGCAGCCACATTGCTCTGTAGAGACAAGGATAGGGAGGCTTTGACTCAAGTATTATTGAGCAGGTTATCAGAAGACACCAGTCCCTAGCGAAGACCATCACCTTGTGAAGAGACATCTGGAAAAAGGAAGATCCACAACAAGATAGAATGACATAGTGGCTGCAACAATGGACCCAAACATTAGCAGAATTGTGAGGATGTTCAGGATCGGCTGTTTCTCTCTGTTGTACATAGGATTGCTATGTGTGGGAATCAACTCAATGGCACATAGCAACAACACATTCATACTATTCTTGGCATAAACCCAAATTCCAGATCCTTAGAAGGAAAGCATGTGTTCAATAGAAACCATATTTTTCACACAAACCGTTTAGGCACAGTGAATCATCTTACCAGTGAATGGTAAGAAACCTCCTGATATCCAAGTTTCCAGATTCTAGCCAAGGAACAACCTTACTAGTAGACCTATCCTATGACAAGTGTCTCAGGTAAAATTTCTTCACAAGGGCTGGTTTTTTAAAATGTAACTTTTGGATACTAGAGAATGGACTGTGCAGGTTTTGATGATTTTATTATAAATGTTATAGGATATAGTATTTTTCTTTTGTCTGTAACATAAAATTATTTTTTTCTTAGCTGCTGAAACATAAAGCCAGAATCACAGCCATTAGGGAGTTAATTGCAAATGAAAAAACATTTCAAGATCAGATAGTTGAGGTGAGTTTAATATTTACCCCCCACCCTTCAGAAGAATGCCCTTCATGATAACAGTTGTATAAGCCCCTAATAAAATGTTAAAAAAGAGAGAAAAAAAAAAAGAAAAAAAAGAATGCCCTTCAGAGGACAGCACTGGGGCTGCAGCTTGGGGAGAGGGGTGCGTCAGATTAGAGCACACGGGAGAACTGCGAAGGGATGTAGAGGGAGGAGAGGACATCCTGGCCGAACAAGCCTCCAGGATGATGTTCCTGCTCCGAGCAGACAACGCACAGGGAGGACCATAGGGCTGGCCTCACCATGGGACATGGCGTCCCTCACTGAACCGTGACAGTGTGGAGGAGAGCACTGGAGACACAGTGCAGGAATAGTGCATGATCTGGGTTCATCACGCTGGGGCAAGGCACTGAGGGCATGCAGCAGAGCAGCAGAGGGAACAGAGTGATGAAACCCCCAGGGAATACCAAAAATAGACTTGGGAGACAGAGTGTGGCACCCCATCAGATTCTACTGGAAAACACTCCTAAAGACCAACAAACAGACCTTGAACTATTTATAGGCTTTTCCATTTTTGTCAGTGGCTTTCTTTTCGTTATTCTTACTTTGTTCTTGATTTCTGCTCTTGTTATTTTTTTGTTGGTTTTTTACTTCCTTTGTTGTTTTATTTGGCTTTGCCATGTTTTTTCACTTATTAATGTAGCTGCATTTCTATCTAGATAAGATAGGCAGGATAAATAATTCGGAGATGAAAAGAATGGGGCTAATGGTTCTGGGGGATACAGGAGAAGGGGAAGTGGGAAGAAGGAAGGGCAGGGGTGGGGGTGGGGACCAACCCAGGGCCAAGGAAACAACAAGTGAACTAAAATCAATGGAAGGAAGGTCGTGGGATTCCTGGTGGGCCTCAATCAAAGGCAATGTAGCAGTGAGGAATTACTAAGCCCGAATGAAGGCTGAACATGATGGTGGGACAAGAGGAAAGTACAAAGGAAATAAAGGAAAAAACCAGGAGGCAGAGGAACTTATAGAGACCTAAATGCAGGCATGTACATATGTAAATATATATGAGAGAGAGAGAGAGAGAGAGAGAAAGAGAGAAAGAAATAGAACTATGCACTCATATCTATATGTTAAGAATTAAGGTTGCAGATGGACATTGGGCCTCGACTCAAGTACTCAACACAAGAACACTCTGTTTTAATAACCAACATTCAGTGATGCTTACCTTCCCAACATGATCACTGAAGACAAAATGGGTACATAAGCAAATGTGATGAAGAAAGCTGATGGTACCCAGCTATCAAAAAGATACAGCATCTGGGGTCTTAAAGGCTTGAAGATAAACAAGCAGCTATCTATCTATCTATGAAGCAACAAAGCCCATATGGAAGAACCACACCAGCCTGTGTGAATCATGGGGTGTCAATGGGATCAGGTATCAAGCATCTAAGACCCAGAACAAAACCATACCCAAGGTGAATGTGGGGGTGGGGCATGGAGTAGAGACCGAATGCCCATCTGTAGACAATTGGACATCCCCTCAAAGAGGATTCACGGGGAATAGATGAACCAGTCAGGGTGCAGTATAGCACTGATGAAACACACAAAGTTGTTTCCTTCACCCCACCATCATGACCTCTAGCTTCCTTCACCCCACCATCATGACCTCAATTCTAACTTACAAAGCATATTAGACCAGAGCATGCACACTGCTACAGAGAAGAGAGCCCACAACACAGGGAATCCAGCATAGATAAACTCCTCAGGGTCAACAAGGAGAGTAGAGATACCAGAAGGATTAGGGGAGGGTGGAGGGAGAAAGGGGAAATCAATCACAAGGACCAACTAGAACCCCCTCCCAGGGGGATGAATAACAGAAAAGAGGGTGAGGGGCGATGGAGGATGATGTAAGATATGGAAAAAGTAATCTATAAATTATCAAGGGTTTGTGAGGGAGGGCGCACAGGGGGGAGGGAGGGAGAAGAAATGGGCAGCTGATATCAGGGGCTAAAGTGGGAAGAGAATGTTTTGAAAATAATTATGGTGGCATATGTGCAAATGTGCTTGACACATTGGAGGAATGTATGGGTTGTGATAAGAGGTGAAAGAGTCCCCAATAAAAGTTTTTTTTTAAATATTTACTACATACTAGGGGCCTGGTGGTGTAGTGGGTTGTGAGTTGGGCTGCTAACCCCAAGGTCAGCAGTTCAAAACCACTATCCACTCCAAGGGAGAAAGATGAGGATTTCTGCTCCTGTAAAGACTTATCAGCCTCAGAAATCGAAAGGGACAGTTCTACTCTGTCTTATGAGTTGGAATCTACTTGGTGGAGGTGGAGGGGGGTGAGGATGAGATAAGCATTGGGTTGCTAACATCAAGGTCAGTAGTTCACACTGCTAGAGGGAGAAAGATGAATCTGTCCTTTCCTGTAAACATATACAGTCTTGGAAATCCCAAAGAACAGTTTGACTCTTTCCAACAGGGTAGCTGTGAGTCAAAATAGATGGTTTGTTTTGTTTAATCCATAGCATACATAAAGACGTTTAATTCTTTGTCAGAAGAATTGTTAACTTTTAATTGTGTTACAAATCAATTTAAACACATAACAGATAAAGCTGTAGATTTTTCAGATCCCACTTCTTTTGTGAAATAATGTGATCAAACTTTCATGATCAAGGAGTCCTGGTAGCATAATGTGTTATGTATTGGGCTGCTAACTGCAAGGTCAGCAGCTTGAATCTACTAAATGCTCTGAGGGGAAATTTTTTAAAATGAGGCTTTCTGCTCCCATAAAGATTTACAGCTTCAGGAAACCAAAAGGACAGATCTATTCTGTCCTATGAGGTCATTGTGAGGCACAATTGACACCATGGCAGTGAGCTTTCAAATTTCTTTTTTTTTTTCTTTAAAAAAAATCATTTTATTGGGGGATCGTACAACTCTTATCATAATCCATACATACATCCATTGTGTCAAGCACATTTTTACATTTGTTGCCCTCATCAGTCTCAAAATATTTGCTCTCCACTTAAGCCCTTGGTAACAGCTCCTCATTTTTTCTCCTTCCCTTCCCGCTCCCCCTCCTTCGTGAACCCTTGATAATTTATAAATTATTATTTTGTCATGTCTTACACTGTCCAACGTCTTTGTTCGCCCACTTTTCTGTTGTCCGTCCCCCAGAGAGGAGGTTATATGTAGATTCTTTTTTTTTTTTTAACATTTTATTAGGGGCTCATACAACTGTTATCCCAATCCATACACACATCAATTGTGTAAAGCGCATTTGTACATCGTTTCTCGAGCTTTTAAATTTCATGATGGGCTTTCATGGGACAGAAATAAGGGCGACTGGTAAGTTTTTAGAAGAAAGTGCATGTTAAAGATTAGTTCTTTTATTTCTTTATCACTAGCAACAAAATTCCATTAAAACTAATTTCGGATTTTATGACTCTGACTATTCTTCTCCTTCTCAGAGTTGGATATAAAAAGCTCTTTTTCATCAATGAAGGATAGTGGGAATTCTTATCATTCCAGGGGAAAAGAGAGAAGGAGAAGAGATTGTGTTTATGTGTGGTTATTGGAAATAAAAGAGGGCTATGGGATCTGGCCCCACAAACTGAATCCGGCCCCACAAAAATCCTTAGGAGCAACTTCATGTGTGGTAGTTACATAATCTGTCAACCTGAGAAAGGGTGGAGTCTAGCTTGTCAATCAAATCGCAGCTTGATAACCTCATTTGAAGGTGTGAAGGAGATAAATAGCTAACTGGAGGACAGACACTCTCTCTGCTTCATTTTCCCGCTGACAAGCCACAGGGAACATTGATTGCAGCCAGAGCCCTGGAGCTGGAGGAGCCACGTGGAGACCCCTGCCAATGTTGAGATGCTTCCACCACCACTGTATCCACAAGACTGTCCAACCACTGGCCTGTGATCTTTCTGCATTCGATGTCATTACATGGCTGCGTGATTCAGCTTTCCTCCTGCAGTCGGTGTCATTGTGTGTGTTTTGTGAGATTGAGGAGGACTTTGTAGATTGGTGTCAGACATATGGGCTAATGTTGAACTTATGGGCTTGGGCAGTGCTGGGTTGAGATGCTTTCTTAATGTACACTTACCCTTTATATAAAACTCTCTCTTATACATGAGTTTCTGTGGATTTGTTTCTCTAAGTATCCATACTAATACAAGAAATAAATATAAAATTCATTTAGGTAATTTCTAAATTGTGAAGGTGTTATTTAGCTAATTGGAATCTCTTGGTGTCTAACCTTTAGGAAGCCTGTACCCTATAAATCTTATTTGTAAAATGAGCCTATTAGTCACCTACCTACCTGGAGACAGAGAGAGCCCAGGTATGTTCTTCTAGGTCTAAATTCCATGCTTTTATGATTTTTAGCCACTGAAGAACACTTGGATATTTTAATCTAATTTTAATCTAATGCATTATGTATTGTTAAATACCTTTGAGAGTGTGAAAGTATCAAAACTGAGCAAAATTATATTTTATTGCAGGCCACAGGCTTTGATTCATTTGATGCCAACAAGATCAATGATGTACCCATCTTATTGGAAGCCAAACTGGATAAGTATCACAATCTAAATGAGGAGCTGGATTTCTTGGTAAGGATTTTTAATTTCTTTGCTGCCATTTTTATACCACTTAATTAATTTTAAGAAATCATTAACCTTTAAAAAATGTGCTTACTAAAATACAGTGTCATTACAATAGTATTGTTGACCTACAAAAGTACAAAATTGAAGTTTACATTTTCATTTTTGACATCTTAGATATTGCCCCACCTAATTTCTTTCTCAGCTATTCAGATTTATCTTTTTCAAAATGAACATGTAAACAAATATGTGCTATCTATCATAGTAGATGAAGCACATTTATATTGTTGCATATGCTACTACTATTTTCATAACAATATCTGTTCTCAATACTCTGATTAAAGAGTGCCTTGGGAAATAATACTCATAGTTTACTTTAGATGACATCTAAAGATAAAAGGACACACACACAAACACATACACACACTATATAAACGAACGGAGCCTGGTGGCATAGTGGATTTTGAGTTGCTAACCACAACTTGTAGTGCTAACCACAAAGTCAGTAGTTTGAACCCACCAACCATTAAACTATAAAAATATGAGGCTTCCCACTTCTATAAAGATTTGCAGGCTCACAAACCACAGGAACAGTGTACTTTGTCCTTTGAGGTCATCAAGAGTCAAAATCAATGTGATGGCAGTAAGTGACATAGCAAAAAAAACATTAGAATAAAATGAAAATGTGATCTTGGTATTAAAAAACATATAAAGTAATTCAACAGTATAGTTTGATTTCATCATAATGAAAAAGAGGCTATATAACAAATTGGTTTTTAATAGCAGTTAAATACAGAAGTCGATCATTATATTTTTAAATGGGTAAAAAGTACTTCGCATTGTAGTATAGGAGTAGTAGGAGCATAAGAACTTTCCTGCTTACCTTAATGATAACCAACATCAGGTGAAAGCTAGTTTTAGTATGGTGGAAGAAGGACCAGATTAAGCCTGTGAGGACCCTGAACCCTGGTAATCCACTGTTGTGTCTCCTCCACTGCTTCGCATGTGTTCTAATAGGACATGTGAATTAAACCTAGGCATGTATATATGTGTGTGTTTGTAACATCATGATAAATGGAAAAGATTGAAGTTGTCAAAGATTTTGTCTTGTTTGGCTCCACAATCAATGCTCATGGAAGCAGCAGTCAAAAGATCAAAAGATGTGTGGCATTCAGTAAATCTGGTGCACGAGTCCTTTGATAGTATTAAAAAAAGCAAAGATGTTACTTGGAGGACTAGGGTGCACCTGACCCAAGCCCTGGTATTTTCAATTACCTCATGTACATGTGAAAGTTCAACATTGAATAAGGAAGACTGAAGAAGAATCAGTGCATTTGATTTATAGTGCTAGAGAAGAATATTAAAAGGAACATGGACTGCTAAAAGGATAAACCAATCAGTCTTAGAAGAAGGTTGGCCAGAGTCCTCCTGACATACTTTGGGCATGTAGTTACATAATCACCTGTCAACTTGAGCGAAAGAGTGGAGTCTAGCCTGTCAATTAGGTCATAGCCAATGATGCCTCTGTGTGGGCATGGCCTTCTCCTGAGAATTCTGGGAACTTCTGTCTCCACCCACCTGGAGGTGGGACATATATTCTTTCTGCTACACATTCCTGTTGACAAGCTACTTGGAGCCAAACTGTTGGCAGACAGAGTCCTGGAGCTGGAGGAGCCACATGGAGAGCTGTGCCAGCGCTGAGATTCTTCCACAAGACTTTTCACCCACTGTACTGTGATCTTCCTCCTTTGGCATCATTGTATGTGTTGTGTGAGTCTGTAGAAGAAAGTATGGATTAGTATCAGACATATGGGCTAATATCGGACTTATGGGCTAATATTGAATTTATGAACTCACACGGAGGCAGCATCAGGCTGCAACCTGATTGACAGGTTGAATTCCACCCCTACACTTTTATATATCTTCAAGTTGACATGGAACTATGTAACTAACACAGAGGTGGATGGAGAGTAAATCCTTCGGGACCTTCATTTGCGGATGTGTCACAAAACAAAAGAATACAACAGTTACAAACATCTATTTATAGGTGGAATTTGGAATGTATGAAACAAGGAAAATTGGAAGTATTCTAACATTAAATGGAGTATATAAAGATGCATATTCTAGGCATTAGTGAGCTGAAATGGACTGATATTGGCCATTTTGAATGAGGGAGTCATATGGTTTACTATGCTGGGAATGAAAAATTCAAATGGAAAGGTGTTGCAGTCATCATCAAAAAGGACATTTCAAGATCTATCTTGAAGTCCATTGCTGTCTATGGTAGCATAATATCTATCTGCATACAAGGGAATGCACTCAATACAACTATTATTCTAATTTATATACCAACCACTAAAGATAATGGTGAAGAAATGTAATCAAGATACATTGACTGCCAAACCCACTTCCTCTGACTGTGAAGATGCGACCTGAGCAAGGCACGAGGCCAGGCACCATCAGCTTTGTACACCACATTTGCTGTGCACCTGCTCTGCCTTCAATGATCCTGTCCTGAAGCACCGAATGACCGGGACCGGACAAGGGGTGCCGACCTTGTTGATGGGGCTGCCCGCACCTCTCTGGTTACCTCCGAGATAGCAGCTGTCACGATGGGGCAGGAATCAATGACATTCAACGATGTGGCTGTAAAGTTCACCTGGGAGGAATGGCAGCTCCTGAACCCTGCTCAGAAGACCCTATATCAGGATGTGATGTTGGAGAACTATCGCAACCTGGTTTCCATTGAAATCCAAAAAGATGGTGATCATATGCTCGAACACTTGCAACATGAAAGATACATGGACAGAACGGAACAATGCTATAAATTTAAGACATTGGAAAGTATTGCTTCTCAGCACAAAAATAATTTTCCTCTCAAGGAAAATTGTGAGATGTTTGGCTTTCATGAAGAAGTTGTAAAATCAGATGTAATCATTCTGAAATTAAATCAGAACAGAAGCAACAAAATAAAGAAGTCAATTGTGCTCAATGGAGATGAGAAAACGTTTCTCCATGTTGAACAAGAGCAATTTTGTACTGACATGAAATTCCCTGAGTGTGAACAATCCAGGTTCAAGAAGTCACAGTGGGTTCAGCATCAGGAATCTGATGAAATTGAGAAACCACACACAGGTGATAAATGTGGGAAAACTTTCATTGAGGAGTCTTTGCCCTGTGAGCACCAGATCATTGGTATACTAGATAAGACCTATGAATGCAGTCAGTGTGGGCAAAAATTCAAGAAAGTGTTCAAACTCAATGAACATTATCAAAAAGCTCATAAAGGACAAGAACTATATGAATGCTTGGAATGTGGCAAAGCTTATCACAGTAAATCATACCTCAAGGAACATCAGAAAACGCAGGTAGCACAAACGCCATGTGTGTGCAGTGAATGTGGGAAAGGCTTCACCAGGAAGCAGTACCTCCCTATTCATCAGAAAATTCACACTGGGGAGAAACCCCATGTATGTGATGAATGTGGCAAAGCTTTCGTTCTGAAAGCATATCTCAAAAGTCATCTACGAACTCATACTGGAGAAAAACCCTATGTATGCCGTGAATGTGGTAAAGCTTGCAGTCAAAAGCAATGGCTCACAGCACATCAGGCATTTCACACAGGAGAGAAACCCCATGTATGTGGTGAATGTGGAAAAACCTTTGTCTGGAAGTATGA